ATCCAAAATTGCTATTTATTGCAAACTATGTCATATTTTATATGCCTATCAACTTTAACATTGTTTCATCTTGTGTTTTACCTTCACATGTGGGGAAGCTAGGTTCCAGCTCTGAACGTAAGAACCATTTTGCACACAGGATAGGCCTAGATGGTAGCAGCGTATCACACTTTGATAAAGCCTAGTGTTCGTCGGGAATTGAACCCGGGACTTCAGGGAAGAGTGCTTCACATTCTACCACTAAACCAGCCAGCTTCCCATCGACTATGATAGGAACACCAAACTAGAAAAGTAAACTTCAATGGTGTAATTCAACTATTTTTTCCACGATAAAATAGTTACAGCTGGTCAATACAGATGACTAATTTATTATCAAAAGTGTCCTGAAAGATGTTAAACATTAACTTCAGCTTACGTACAAATTAAATTGTACACGCTTAAAAATCATAAATCAAGATTAACAGAATGCATAAACTCCCCTAACAGCTGGCGGCCGGCAACATCCCGAAACCGATCGATGAGCAGGTGTGGTACGAGTTTGTATCGATAATGCGAACACATTGTTTTGATCAATTCGGAGGTGATCCCCGCTAGATCAGCTGATTTGATTTCTTCATAAGCGGTTATCAATCACTCTAATCTTTAATTAGCCCTGTAAGCGGATCACGCCCCCCACAACATAGGGGAGAGCTCATTTTAAGGGTGTTAGTGAGTAGTGGGGCTAGTAGCTTGTGTGTTTATCTGTTTGGATATTTGAATTATATATTCAGAATCGTAATGTGATTGCAATAACTGTTATATTTTTCTCAATTTTATTTAAGCATTTTTTTACTATCGCAAACACTTGACAGTTTGCATAAAATATTTTCATTACAAAAACAGGTGTATTTAAAAAAAAATTAAAATAGAATAAGTTATATCATTATATACAAACTCGATACATTTACCCAAGATAAATTTGATATTAAACGCATTTCTCTAATTATATTGCGCAAATATATTTTTTTACACGGTAAAAACTTTATAGACCCTTGATAACTAGTCAATCTTTAAATAAGTGGTCATTTTCAAATCCCCTAGGATTTTATTGCAAACCACAATAAGAAGTCGACCTTTATAATAAGTATAATTTTATAATTCCCAAGGGAGTCTTGTTATCAAGGTTTCAATGAATGTTGCAATAATTATTTTTAATGATGATTTTTTTTATAGTTATTAGTTTTTTACTGGTTTACTGATGTTTACTTTAAAAAAAATATTAGATTGCTACAGGTTTTAAATTTGAAGGTTGCTAGTTTAATTTCAAGCGAGATCATTTCTGTTCTTTGATGGTGTTTATTATTGCACAATCAATTAATAATTGTATATAACAATAATAAATCAACGTTGACAAAACCAGGGTTTGGAACATCCCATTACAAAATAAATGAAAGGAATACGGAGTAGATAAATAACTGTTACATAAAACATAAGTCACAGTTTAAAATTTGTCACTAATTCATTATTTTTTTACTCTAATAATGATTTAAATCACTAACCTTTCCAGGGGAACATATTTAAAACGATACAGAAATCGACATCGATGTAAAAATAAAGGAATACTAAAACCAAACGACCGAAATCAAAACGCTCTAACTTGTAAACAACAACTTGCTCGAAATCATAAACCAGTAAAACCATTCCACAAAACCTCGAATTAGTCGGGAGCGGACAAATTGAGAGGATGAAACAATAAAATTATTGCTACAAAGATAAATTAATAACCTCCCTAAGAGCGATAAGCGAGAGGGTATAATAGAGGAGGTATTATTATACTGCAATATCCTCCGCTTCATACCTGCCGAGTGTTCAGGGGCAATAACAACTGTATTAATTGTTATTTTTGAAGAGGGGCTCGACAGGTATGCTTTGTCACGATATTAGTGTACAATATTACATTCCTACCCCCTCCCCGCACCCGTCCCACCCACCTTCCCTTTAATATCCCCACCCCATGGCAACGCGACTTCCATATTCCAATATTTGCCCAGGAGTTACTTGTGAAAACGTGAGGAATCCCGGTTCTTTTCTAAAAGTAGGTATTTCGGGTATCCGGGATATTTTACTGGTATTCTATAGGTATTTCATATGTTTTAAAGGTTGCAGATGCTTTTGTTTGAATTTTAAATATTTTTTACATATGAGTGATGTTTGCTGTCGTTGAATTGTTGAGTTTTTGAAAATTTTCAATTACGATAATAACAATTAAATCAAACAGCAATAAAACGCAATAATACAAAATAAATAAATTGTATCAGCAATCTGACACATACTTACTCCCATTATCATGCCTTCAACCCTTGTCATAGCCTATGGGTAAGCGGTGGGAGTAGCTTAGATATTTTATGGGGAAAATCACAAAAGTACAATATTGGGAATTGTACCGAATGTTTAGAGTTAAATAATATACTAAATTTCAATCATATTCGGTCGAGCTGTTTTTTATCTTACTTTTCCGTTACCTTATGGGTTTTAGAAGGATTATTCTACGAAACTTCTTTACTATCCTATGTTTTGAAGAGATCACTTCTCTGAAATCCTAAATTGTTAGTACTATGTCCCGAATAATAACCCTGATATCAATAATTAGTGTATGATTGAAGTAAGAAAGAACAACACGCTAGAATACAATAAGTTGGATAGCATTTTGATAACCTTCCTTAAATACTGATACGAAACTGTTATATTTTAATTAGTTTAAATTCCAGAAAAGAAGATCTTACAAACCATACTATCATCATGTAAAAAAAAGAGACAATTAGGATCCGTTAAAACAGATGGTGAATAAGAGTGGTCCTAGGCGTTGCCCTTGGGGTACTCCAGAAATGATAGGAAATGCAGTATAAATTACTGTATTGCATTTGGCAACAATTGTTAAGACATCATTTAATCCGCCAAGGAGCGCCTCTAACCATTCTAAACTTAGCTAACTTAGCAATCAGAAGTTGTGGTGATTTTGAAATGAAATGAAATGAAATGAAATGAATTTATTTTCCTTTAAGCATTGTACAAAATGCAATGGGCATCGTCAAAAAAAAATACAATTGTCAATATATACAATCATTATGCAAAAACTTAACATAAGAAAAACCAAGCAAACACAGCACGCAAAAAAGGCTTATATAAGGCTTATATTTGGAACTTGAAGCCTAAAATTGTATATACAGAATTTACTTTACAGTATTCTGGCATACAATTAACCGTTGGGGGTTTTGATATTTCTATTGGGATTGAGAGCGTCTGGCCTGGCATTTAAAATGTTAATAAAATATAAGGGTGGGATTTAACTGGAAAAACTAACAGTTAATTTTAATGGTTGCCCGGGTTGAAACTATTTTAAAGCATGCCAACTCTCTTAGCTGATTTCGCTTTTAATCAAAACATACAGTTCTGGCTAAAAACTGTTGCTTTGATCATTGTATTTGGGTTTTAAAAATCTACATTATAGCAAATGTCCCTAATAGGGAAACATCTATTACCGTAGATCTCATGGTAAGACCTAGACCAAGGACTTATTTACTTTTTCTTTTTATGTTCCCAGAAGCAAATAAAAACACCGATTCAAATTTGTAGTTCATTAGCACGATAACTGGAGTAAGAAGACTATGGAAACTGGGCTTAATGGGGACTTTCTGGGATTCCATTTTTTGACACCTGAAACAAAAAGTTCTACAGCTTCTTTCTAACTATTTTGTAGAGCTCAAATAAAATCATTCAGTTCATCGAAGCGTTGTTGTAAACTAATGGTTACAGGGAAATTTTAAAAAGTTGTCCTTCTTTAAATACCCATGTTATTCTTATGTAAAATAAGTAGAACATACACGGTATATGTTATAGATCACAAACATAAACTAATGACGTCACTGGCCCGAATCTTATGATAATAACTTTTACATCTGGTCAGTTACATTTAAATAAACACATGCTTACTTTCCAGTGTTTGTTTATTTATGATCCATGTAGTTTCTGTTCACTGTTCTATATTTGGGGTTCTAACTATACTATTGAACGGTAACTGCGTACTATGCTCATGGCCCTTCTCCCTAGTATTATTCCTCCCATACAACTAAAAGGGTTAGTTTGACACTTCCCTTGTAAAGATAAGGAGCAGGCTGGTTTCTTTTGCTCTTTGCCAGGCATCGCAGAAGCTTATGATCAGTCCCAACACTGCAAACACATTCTTATTAGTTCACCAGTACCAGTATAGCTCAGAGGTTAAAGTTGGGTAATACTGCATCAAGTTAGCATCTCTTCTGGTCTTAAGCAAGTTTCCAATTGATATCAGCTACCTGGCGGTCGAGAATAAGTCAACCAATGTAAATTGTAGAGAAAACCAAACCAAAATAGTTATGGCTCCATGAGGACTTACGTGTCCAAGAAACAGTTTCCTTTGGGCTTTTAGAAGATTTTTGGATTTGCTTACTACATATGAACCAAAACAACGTGGATAAAGGGAGTGCTATCTCCAAAATTTATTTATTTCATACGGAAACACCAAAATCGTAGTAGATAACTTTATACTTTACTTTTTGCTATGGTTGTCATTCTTATTGTGTAAGGATTAAAACCTTGTGAACCGCATAAACGTAATGAGCAAGTTAGTAAACATTTCAATCGAGCTAATTTTAAAACCTCTCAAAAGGGCTGGAGCGCCAAGTGGGCAGGGTGTGATTTTAATGAAAAGTAAACAGATTCCATGTCATAATATTGAGCGCGAGACAAATTATTACTGAAGAAACCGCAGCACTGGTAAAGTTGATGACAAACTAGAGTTATTCTTCGGAGCAGAAGAGATTCTTGCAAAGTCACAACTTGTGAGCGGGACATCGTCGGTGGGGGTGGCAGGTGGTGGGGGGAGGAGCGCGCTGATTGGACGGACACGCCCACTAGTGTCGGCCAATCACAGAGGTCGCTCGCGGCGTCTAGCTGTTCACACGAGTCACGGGTCTTGTCGCGGCATCAGCATGGCTATAGGTAGTTTCTGGGTTTGCTAGGGCCTCGGTCGTGTTTTGTGACCTAGGCGCTCCACGGCCTCACGATTTTGTCGTCACTCTCGCTGAGGCCGGGCCTCTCCGCCGGCATGCTCAACAACCTGAGCATCATTGGCTCCAACTCTGGTAAGTTCATGTATAATTTGTAGAAATAGCTGTAAAATTTGTGCCTAAATCAGAGAAGTGAATACTTATGAACTAGTTCTCCTACTTTTAGTATTTAGAAGCCCACTAAGGTTTGCAGCCAAAACCTATCAATGGTATCTGAGACAGTCTTATGGCAAAGGAGAACCAAAAACACCTAACTTCAGGTCTAATCAAGGAAGAAACTACGATTTAAAGTTAAGATCTTTTTTCTAATCGTAGGCAACTTTTCAGTGACAAATAACTCCAGTTTTTTATAACTCCAGTTAATATTGGTAAGAAACCTTGTACCATTGTCTTATTTTAGTTTTTATTCTTTTTTAGCTATAGTTGACTGACGTTTTCCAGCAATGTAACCACATTTTATGGAAATAAAAAAAAATTCTTGATTCTTGATTCTTGATTCTTCAGTGATAATTATTATCAGCACAATTGTGTGTCTCTTATCTATATCTATCACACATGCATAACATGTAAATGGTGTAGGTGTATACCGTTAGTACTGTACTCCCAAATGGCATTTAGGATTCACCCATAATCAGAGTACCGATAGTCCCAGGAATAATATACCAAAAAGTAGTCCTACATATTTTTTAACATTTAAATTCTGCCTAGCAAATGTGTTATAAAATCCCAATGAAATTAGCAACCAACGTTAAAGAACTTAATCCAAGGTTGGCAATTTTCTGAGAGCTATTCAAGAAGAGTCTATATTCACTGCATCATAAAAAAATTATTTATCAATACAAAACCACAATCATCATCACCTGTATCACGATCCCCGAGACCAACACTTAAACAACCCCTGAAGCCAAATTTCGTCTGGTAGAACTGAAGGTTTCTTAGCCTCGTCGCAGGCAATCACGCTCCGGTTGGTTGACCAATTAGCCTCAATCAAGGCGGCCTATTCCCGCGCTCTCACATAATTGTCTCGATAGCCTCGCCCCGCGGTGCCTCCAGTGTGCAGCTTCTTGTGTCTGTGACCCGTGACCGTCAGCAATGCGGTTATCAAGATGTACTTGGTGATATGTATATAGTGTTTACGCCAGTGGTCTTTGGGAGAGCGGGATAGTACTAGCAATTCTTGACGGGGATCGAAATGTCTCTTGCGCGTCCGAAATGCTAACCTCTAAGCATCACACCCGATTGTGAAGATTTACCGATAAAGGTGACAATGTAGTGGATACCATTGTTTGTATACAGTAAGTATTAATTGTACTGTAACTAATTTTCAATCATCTTGTCTTTTATAAAAGGACTTTTTTTTATATAAATATGTTAAATTATAAATTATTAAAAGTTCATAAATGTGTCAGTAATAAATAGTTGCATTTTGGTTGGTGTATCCAGAAATATTTGTTCATAATAGAATTTTTTTAAATTATTTATCTATGTTAGTTTCTTGTTCTTGTTGCTATTGACTGTTTTTGGTGATTATTAATTTAAAAGGCAAAATCTTTCTCCTTGACAAGAATTTGTAGAGCAATATTTTGTTGACTGTAGGCCTATGTGTAGTTGGTGGGTTTAATTAGATTTTTATATTCAAATATTTTGTTTTAGATTAATTTAATTTATTTTATTTTAACTATTGAGGCTGTAACATGGCTAATTTATATTAATATTATTTTTTATTACAGTACCTGTACTATTAATTAGTTATATAATTTTAAAACCTTGCCGATTTGATATCTCCAAATTCAGATATTTTGGCAAAATTAAGGTAGGCCTACTGCATTTCAGTTGTTACTAAACGTTTATATTACTGATTCTCAGTTAATGTTTGATTTCTGAACAAATATAGCTTAAACAAATTATATAATATATACCGGATAACTGGTAGTCAGTATGATAAATGTCATTTGGTGTAAGTAAAAAAACCATGTTTTAAACTTAATACAGCAAATTCTCAACCACCTGTAAACGGATTTGAGTAAATAATGTCATTTTCACCACACTATGATGTTTTTGGCTGTATTGCATACGTTAATTGGTGGCTGAAAGTTACGTTTTGCTGGTCATGCCAGCTGTCATTGTAATTTGGGGACCGAGCAGGTTTTTACAGGCCGGGGCCGCAAAGTCAGCTGTCCGCTTACTTGCTTAATGAATGCATTTTAAATACACAATCAAAATCCATCACCGTTGCCTAGCAACTATTTATTTTTATTTTTGCTGATTCCTCAAATTATTTCGTCACATAACCTTAAAGTTGTAGTTGTGTTGACTATCAGTGTGCATTATTATAGTGGTGAATAGTGGTAATAGTGTATAGTGTGGTGAAAAATAGCGTTCGTACCACGGACCGAAATGGTTTTGCAGCTCTCGATCGATTTAAGTTCTCGACTTCGTCTCGAACTTAAAAACTATCTCGAGCCGGCAAAACCTCATTTTCGGCCCTTGGTACGAAATATACTATTTCGTGTTCTACATTAAATTTTGAATAAGAATAATAGAAAATGATGGAGGATCAATTGTAAAAACTCCATTGTAAATATATCCAAAGATAAAAATCAAGGTAAAAATAAAAAAAAACATTGGTCTATTGCATTTTTCTACACCCTGAGAAGGTAGCAAAATATGTTGAAAACTGCGCCATTTACAACCATATGCTACACTATGGAGCTTTAGGTCTGCTTATGTACGCTTTAGTGGTCCAAAACAAGGTGTTTTTTACATTTTCAACATAGATAGTCGGCATGTATTAAGCAAAACTTGCATTTTTGTTTCAGTTTGAACAGTAAAAACAGTAAAAAAGTTCCTTGTTTTCTAGAATTCAAACCACTAAATCAAACAAAAGCATAAGCTACTGTATGTAAATCTCAATAGTTTAGCACATGGTTGGAAAGCTTATAAAACGGTGCAGTTATCAACATATTTTGCAACCTTCCTGTACAGGGTGTGGAAAAATGCAATAGACCAATGTTTTTTTTTATTTTTACTTTTTTCAAAAACCTTAATTTTTATCTTCGGATCTTTTTACAATAGAATTTTTAATATTGATCCTCCTTCATTTTCTATTATTCTTATTCAAAATTTAATGTAGAACATGAAAATTACATCGTCTACTCAAATCAATTTACAAGTAATTGAGAAATTGCCGTATTAAGTTTAAAAACATGTTTATTTTTGAAAAACTTAAAATAATTCTTTGTGAAGCTAATTTTTTGCCTTGGAACCATTTATATGCATCATCACACTTCTTTACTTTGTATTTACACCAAATAATTTTTGTCATACTGACTATCAATCATCCTGTATATATATAACATTAGTATGATTAAATTTATCCGTATGTATGAATGTCTTTAATAACCAATGTGACAATGTGCAACAGATATTTGGTAGATATACATTTTCTACAGTTTGTATGATGGTTGTGCTTGTGATATAAATTAGTTATCAGCTGTTTGATATTGTGGACATTTTTACTTGTTTATCTTTGGACGATTTTTATTGATTCTTGTTGTCATGGAGAAAAAATAATAATATTTACTAGTGAGTTTTATTGTTCTGATGTTTAGTGAATGTTAGTTTATTAAAGCATTAAATATCTTTAATTATTTTGTCTTCAATTTAAATGTTGAATTAATTACAATGGTTATTAAAAAAAAACTGAGTTGTAACACCAATAAAACACGACACTTAACATTTCAAACACGAAAACAATCGTCATTCACTGAAGAATATTCAGTGTTGTTAGATTATTTATCATTTTCTTAAATTAAGACATTTGTATAGATACATAATTGTACCAAAGGCGTATAGCTGTTTTATAGGGGTTTTAAGTTTTAGCGTATGCGATTCTAACTTTACCGTAATGGAAAAAATCTGTTAAGGTACCTAAAAGTATTTTTTTTTTATTGTAAAACGTTGCTTAACTTTGCTTTGTGATTTGGAACCAAAAATTATTAAATTTTAATTTTACAAATCATTATAAAGCCCAAAACAGTTATAGTTTACAAACAGAACATGATGTAAAATATTTAATATTAACGCATTCATTGAAAGCACATCAATGTACATCTTATGAGCGTAGTTTGTTGTTAGTTAGCCTATTTTTTAAGTCATTTCATTTTTACGTTTAATTATGCCTATTCAATATATTTATTTTGTTCGCGTTATACTTGTATACAGAAATTCCACAATCAAAACGTTTTAATAATAAAACAACGATATAGTTTTCTGCTATCAACTAGCTAAACAATGTTATCCTATATGAAAACAGTTGACATTTCTCATATTTTAAATCAAAGTTACATAGTGGCAGTGATAGTTGTATAATGTTTATTATTTAGATGCGAAGATTATAACGTGTACGAACATTTAATGCTATTTGAAGCACTTGTGATTGTATTTTATCGGTTTGCTATCTGTAACGGATGTTGGCACTACAGGTATCTGTGTGTGTTTTGATAAGAGATATTATGTTGTGGGTCAGTAATCTGTCATAGATGATTGATCATTTATTATATTTTTATTTTCAGAAAGAAAAAAGTACTTTAGTCGGTTTCCGATACATGTTGTGCAGAATTAAAACTCAACGTTTAAAGTGAAAGCTAAATTTTGACTCCAATAAATATAGTTCGATATATTTCTCGTATTGTATTACACATTTCGGAGCGTCAGTTTTGGGGGGTAATAATTAAAGTTGAAAAATTTTATTTTTTTGTTTTGTAAATTGTTTTGAAAACTATGTGGTTTAGCGTAAAATATATATTTACAAAAAAATCTACGAGAAATTGCAAACAAGAATGGTCCTCTTCATAATCTTGTTCAAATGAATGGTTACTGCTTTAAAAAGGTTAAACATAGATATTTTTCAAATATTTAAACGCTTTAAAATATGATACTTCATTCAAATAGTATATTTCGTACCTAGGGCCAAAAATGAGGTTTTGCCGGCTCGAGATATTTTAAGTTTGAGACGAAGTCGAGAACTTAAAACGATCGAGAGCTGCAAAACATTTCGGTCCGTGGTACGAACG